AGAGATGACTCATAACCGGTCATGACCGGTAGCATCATATCATATGATGGTCCGGGACCAGGTCCCATAGAAAGCTTGCTGATGAGAAACTTGACATCTCATATTACAGTCATGTTAACTGGCCTGGAACATTACTGAAGGTTTGAGCATGACATCACATTCGACATGAAGCAGAAACTTTCAATCTGCGACGCTTCAAACTTGCGAAAGAGAAGGCTGCAGGAGATGAGCATACTCCTCCGCTCTTCGTGTGTGCGCGAAGGAAGCTCGATGGGACTGTGTAATTGAAGCCCGTACTATTGACTGTCTCATATTATTTGTAGAAATACTCGTATCTTCCTAAACCTTGCTTTGGTCAGTGGCGGTGTTGACAAACGCGCACGACCACGGCAAAAAATGCGTCTGATTGAGCAGCCTTCCGACAAATTCTTTGCCATGTTTTGCCAGTGGAACTTGCGATGCATGTTTGAACAAAGAGCTCTCGATCTTGTTTGAAATCATGCAAATCATGCGACTTACAGTCTTACACTCCTGTGCCTTATCGAGCAAAATGTCTGGATCATGCTTATAAGTAGTGGTTGGTTGTTGGTCCTGCCTCTTCCCTGCTCTCCGGCAAGCGCGACTCGCGGCGCGCTCGCGCCTGCTGGTGGCATCCACCGCTTCTACAAAAGCCTCGAATTTGTAAAAGCTCCAAACCCGCCAATATTTATCGGCCGAAGTGCGGCCGCGTAGGCCGGTGCACCAGGCCCAGGGTGGCGGCCATTCTACCGAGGGCGCTCGATGTAGCAGGACGCATTCCAATTAGCAGCGTTCTTTGCAGAGTCCGCGAACAGAAGAAGCGCTGCTGAGGCGCCGCAATGGCGACCCGCAGTCTCTTGAGGTCCTGCGCGTTTTCAGCTCTATCGCTTGTCCTCATCTTTGCGGTGTTTGTTCAGGAAGGGGCTTCGCTGACGCTTGAAGTCACTGTTCACGTGGATGGCAGCACCAGCTTGCCTGACCCGAGTCTCCTGAACGCCTTCCTGCGGAACCAAAGTGGTTTGCTCAACCCGCTGCTCCCTGACCGCCCTCCAATCCAGCTGCAGCTCTGCAACTCCAGCGTTTATTCCCAACCCTTTTATTTTTACACGCTGCAACACCCGGGAAGTTGCGCTAGCGCTCCAGGGTTGATAAGGAGCAAACCGAAAGCTGCAAGGACGCTTGAGGCAATCTGGCTAGCATCAGCGGCAGTCATCTTGGTTGCGCTAGCTCTTGCGTGCCTGATCAGCCGTCGGTCAAACTTGTCAGCTGAAGATCTGGCAGACGGCGCGTTGCGCTGGTGCTATAAGCTGGTGCCCGGCGAACCTGACCGCAGAATGACCGCAGACGACCTTAGTACTTGGATGATTTTCACCTCTTTGCCGGTGCCTTTTGTGCTAGGCCCCCTCTGCTTTGCGTACGTCGCCGTTGACAAACTCCTCCCAGCCCCGTTACCCGTCCAGCGGCCACAACGTTACGCTCAGCCTTTGCAACATCAGGAACGCCTTTCAGGTCTACATAGGCTTCTCAGACAGTTGTGACCAAGTGTCGGACTCTCTCTATCCAGGAGTCAGCCTCCCGCAGGTCGAAACGATTGTTTACAGCGATGACCACACTTTTAGCCAAGGCTGGGCACTGACCATTGTCCTATACTGTGCGGGCGTGGTCACTTGCGCCTTCTGGCTGCTCATCGCCGTAGGGGCGCTTCTTTACCTTGCGAGAGTCGTGAACTTTCTCTGCCAATGGAAACGGCCTCAGGCCAAAGTGCACGATGTTGAGATGCAGGACGCCACCAGCTTGTCAGACTCAGATGATGACGTAACGGGTGACGCAATCGGTAGTGGGTCGAATGTGGAAGGTCGGACGGGTTAGCGCGGCTGCTCGTTGATCTTGGGCTTGAAGCAGGCTTGACGCTGGTAGATGATAAGCGATTGAGCTCAGCGAAGGCAGAGAACCACGTCAGTGATAGGTCGATAAGAGGGGAGTAGGATCACCTGTAAGCAAGCGGTAGATTTAAGATCCAAAACTAGAGGTCTTCATGGGCGGGCGATACAGAGAAGCGAGAAAAAGAGGGGCAAACTTACGTCTCTACGCGGTCACGCGAAACATATTTTAACGTGAAGGCGCGGTTCTTGACCTTTATTGCTTCTGAGGAATTTTAGTACCTTGGCTCTGACTTTTGATGACCTTCAACTAGTTATAAGAGGCCTAGAAACCGTTTCATTGGCGGTTATATCTTGGCCCTCTAGCCGTCAACTTTCCGTAGTCTACGTGAAACCGTTGACGATCAACATGATGCTGCTTCTGTCCTTTGCTCACGTCCCCGACCCATTGAAGCGCATTTGTTTTGACGCCTTTCAGTGCTTTATGAAATAGGCCGAGTAGCACGATATGGGCGTCACATACATGCACCTTTCATGTACCAGCACTACGTACCAAGAATTTTCGAACAGCCAGCGGCTTCGTATTGGAATCCATGCGGATAAATAGACTACGGAAGAATCAGCCTCCCAATGACTGGTGCAATAAAAAGTCGATGAAAGCGGGCAATGGTCGAATCGGAAAAAGTGTCTTCATTGAGCCGCTTCTTGGGTGGATAATCCACCATGTTTAATCCGCTTCTTACGTTACACGTGTTGGATGAACACAGCTATCTATCTCGTTTTAAAAAATCAATTTAGCAGCTTAAACTCCCAATATGTGATTTGCAGTCCCGACTCGGAGCAACATCTTAGCAGTATGCTTATTGCCTCGCCGCTTCAAATATACTTGTCAATGGTCCCCTCCAACATAGCAAATTGTCGCTCTTATTTATATGGATATTGAAGCGCAGCCAATATCTAGTAAGAGGTAAACGCTTGAACTTGAGTCCTGGCTGCGAGCAGCCCCTCATATCATTCACGTGTCATTGGAAAGTGAGAGACATAGTGGTCTTGAAAGCTCAATAAGTTGTGGTTGTTCCGATAGAGTAGAATAGGAAGACGGCAGAGGAGTGGTTCCTAAGCCTCTGGGGCGTTGCCCCGGCCAGAGAGAGCTCCCGAGGGAGCCCCCCCTGCCAGACGGAGGCCCTTGGCCTCAACGTCGGGGGATCACCCCCAGCGAGCAGACACCCCCCGAGAGGGGCTCACGGCGGAGGGCGTTCCAGCCCTTCAACGCGACGTCTCGCTATCTGCAGAGCCAGACAGCAGTTGTCGACATTTATATGGTCGCAAGAATCGAGGGTCTTGTGGGCGATGTAGGCCGGTGACATTAGCAGCCGTCCGATTCCCAGATGGCAGGATCTGACGGCTACGAAGAGGTCACGCGCGACCGCTGTTCACGGCGTCCAAAGAAAGACGGAGCGCATCAGTGACGAAGCAAATCGTACAATCCAACAAGACAAGAGAAGATAAAGTTGCTACCCGCCCAACTCGAAGTGTTACATGGCACTGCTAAAGCTTCACAATCCCTTGATACGAATGCATGATGTGTGAGTCTGAGCCGGACCAAAGCGGGTCCTGCTCGGAAGATGCCCACCCTCTGCCTCTCGGTCCTCCGGTCTCACTTCAAGGATGCAAGTTCAATGAATGACTTTCGATCTCCTGTAAGATGAAAAGTATGAAGCAGACAGGGTTGGTGGAACTTGTACTATCTGCTGCGCATCCGAAGTGCAGTCTGATTACGTTGACAAGAATGACTTTGGCTGCGGATGAAAGCTGCAGAGAATCTTCGGATGCGCGTTTCAATGCTGCATGGAAGTAAATGAAGTACGACACGAGTCAAAGTCGTCTCTTTGGAATTACATCCAAGGTGCATTAAATTTGAACAGGCAACTTGGCGCCTTCTCTCGAGACGGGCTCGCCTGAGTGGCCAGTTCCCCGTCGTACTCAAAGACGCATTGTCCTCCCACCAAGCGGGCACAGTTCGCTTGCTCTCATTCAGGACGACGTGCACGTACGGGATAGGGCTGCATACGGACTCAAGTCCTGAGAATTTTGACCAAAATCGACAGTGACGGGCAGCTTCTGCATGCGCATTCACGACGATTGGCATACCATGGCCGGCATTGCCAAATCAAGCATCACCGTACTGAGGCCGGCTTTGCATATTGACAGAAGCATAATATCACAGTAGTATCATCACTGCTCCATCACTGCATCTATATACGAGCATGCAGGGTGATTGTTGAGTGGCCACATCGGCCGGATGCATACGTTACAGCAATTAGCGAGTATGCGCAATTATGTGGCCATCGAGTAATCAGCAGTGCATGCAGTGCACAGCTATGTACGTGCTGTGCACAAATTAGTTCTGAACGTCCAAACCAAGCTTCGAAATCGAAAGAGCAGGCCGGTGACCCGCAGATTCCCAGCTTCCGACCGTCAATCGGATGCATCTAGCGTTTCGAGCAAAGTTTTCAAAACAGGCCCGCACTCTTGAATATGTACAATTGTTCGCTCCATCTTGCTTCAAAGCCGTCCATCTCATGCCAAGATACCTTCTCGTCGTTCTGCCCGTCAATAGGCGCCTCACAACTTCGATCACGCCAACTTACTACCCAGCTCTGAACAGTTTTTCGATTAGCTGCATTTGAGCTTCTGCACAGCCATGTGTCATCGTGACCACAGCTTCGAAGCTTGGCTGCCTGCCTATACATTACAAAGATTCACTGCCAAGGTGAGACGAGTGAAGCAGCTGGGAGTTCTGGTCGAGCCCCGCCGTCAGCCACATGCGTTCAATCTGCACAACTTGGATAGCGGCGATTCAGAAGGGTGAAGAAGCGAAGTCCGACCACTTTCGATTCTTTGAATCAATTCAATCGTTGAAATGGAGACAACAGTCTCTGTGACTATGGGTCCGCATTCCAAGCGTAAGAGGACGCCCTGGTAAGGCAAAGGTTTTCCTCAATTCTAATCTCTCAATCGCGAATGCTGTAAGGGACCATCCTGCCTGACCTTTCCGAACCCATTGGTTGTAACAATTGTTTGCAGTTGAGGAGACCGTAGAAGCAGGTCAAGAAAGACGCAATGTGTCCGATTCGAGAATCGGTCTTTTGGAAGAAGCCAGTACTTCTCCAGCAATTCGAGGGGCCAGCTCTTACCTCGTCGTATCTGAGGCGGCTGAGCCGTAACGGCCTGCCCCGCTTCAAGAAAGCGTCCTCCTGGAAAGACACGCGGTACGACTGGGTTGATAGAGCAGCATCTAAGTTGTACAACGCAGATCAGCAAGCGAACCAAAACGGTTGTGTATGTAATTCGCAGTTTTTCAAGAGAGTAAAGAAACTTGCTGTACTGGAAATTAACACTTGCACACACCTTACCGAGAAAGTGACCGGATTCTACAGCAAGAGTGTTTGACACCAATGTTCTGCAGGCTCCATATCGTTCTGCATCATGTCCTTCAGAGATCCGATCGAAAGAACATGGGCACTTTCAACGCTTTGTAGCATCTTTTCAACTTCAAAAATCATCCTTGACAAGACTCGCCGCCTCTGACACCAAACTAAATGCTTTCCAACGTTTAGCGCAAAGACACGAAGACACGCGCCGCACCCCCTCACCTCGCCGTGGACGTCTAGATAGATGGACGGCGCCATGCAGGCGCGGTCGCCCCTCAGGATCAGCATCTGGGTCGACCGGAGCAGCAGAAAGATACCGATGCCCATCCCACCTGCAGAAAACCACCTCTATTAGCGACTGTGCCAGAGTGATTACAGTGAACACAAGCCAACTTTTGACAGCAATTGGACGGGGCCCGACTCGTCACAGGATTTTAGCAGTAAGAAGAAGGAACGGTGGTCTGTGAAGGAAGCTGCGAAGACTGATGACGAGCAAGCGCTGCACTTGAACGCGCGAAAGAAGGCAGAGCGTCCGAGGGAAGGGGGTTCGCTGATCCGAGAGTTACTGCAGAATCAGGCAGACTGTCACTTTCACATCGGAACGGATTGCTGTCAGGATGCGCTTCCAGATCAGTCTGGACATGCGAGAGGGAGACGAAGGATTGTTCTACACGGAATGGATAACGGAGATCGATTCTCACAGATGCCCGCCCTGAGGAGGTAGAGGTTGAAAGGAGGCACTCACACTCAGCCGCGTGTCGGGAGCACTCCCCTCGGCCCTCCACGTGGCAGCACTGGCTCTTGCAGCACACCAGCGTGCCGCACAGCAAACACAGCGCCGGCTCCCTGCACCAGGAGACGTCAGACCCACACGTCAGTTCTGACGACACCTTTGAGCGGCGCGCTTAAGGAGTCCTTTGACAGCCCCCGTACCTCAAAGAAGCCTCGTTTACGTCGCGGGAGATTGTATACATGCTTGCGGACAGGAGGGACTGATTCGGCTGTCGTAGGAAAATTTGCAGTGGATCTCACCTTGGCACCGTCCCGCATCGTCCACATTTGCGGTTCATCTCGGCCAGAAGCAGCTCCTGCCAACAACAAAAGTGAGCATCTCAACCAGAGGACCAGAATGAAGCGGAAGATTGCAGCCTGTTGTGCAAGCACGCCACATTTCTGGCGTCCAATCATTCCCAAAGCATCGGCCTGACTGATCGGGCTGCCTAAGAATCTCCCAGATCCGAAGCCGCTAGACTGCGCTGAATGTCAATCCTTCTCCTCACATAAGACGATGACGATGAGTCAACCATTCCCATGACTAAGAGGTCTGGGCTTGACAGTTCAACGCTTGTCTTCTCCATAGCCCATACGTAGGCCTACTTCGCATGCAAGTGCGTTTGTCTGAAGCGAGTACGCACCTGGAAGACGTCCGGCAAGTCGACGAGCTTGAGCTGCGCACGGCCTGAGAGGAGGAGGTGACGTGGCACGACCGGCGCTGTTGGCGGCATTACTGCAAACAAGCAGGGCAAGTTTTGAGCAGACTGGACTTGGAGAAATCGGATTGACTTGCAGACGGTGGAAGATCATGGCTTCCAACGAGCCCCGCTGACGGTCAGAGCGGTTGCCTTCTGCCGCCTCTACAGCACCACAGCCTAATGTCACCTAGCCCAAACACACTTTGGATCGCGGGGAGAAAGATTGGAAAACAGCGTGCCCAGCACTTGGCGACGAGCAGCGTGTTGTTCTCAACCCGTCTTTCAGCAAAGAAACAGATCAGCGGCGTCTGCTTAGCTGCAGAACGATTTTAGAGCAACTCAAAAGCCCGTTGTCTCACCTTGTTTCGAAGGTGGAGCGATCCCCATGGCTTGAAGGACAGATGGAACGGGAGGCAGGCCCAAGTAGCGCTCCCAGTACTGGTAGCTCATAAGGTCACCTGCAACTCAGAAAGAGCGGCCTTAGAAGAATGCTTGCAAACATGGAACCAGTTCTTCGGTGGTTGTCAGGCTGTCCGACTGGTTTCATACTTTTAAGTGGGAATGGATGCACTGCCCTTTGAACCGCGGTTGATACAGAACCATAAGGGAGAATTGCGCACTGTGTGGCTGCCTGCTTCGAAAACCCTTGCATTGTGGATGGTCCAGAATTCCGGTGCTTGCGCTGCAGCAGATGGCCAGGAAAAGCGAATGGGGTCGCAACGACGTGTTCCACTTTACGACTTCCCATGAGCATTTTTGAGGGTGGCAATGTCTAGATTCCGCACGGGTTCTGCCTCACTAGAGTGAAAAAGAGAATCCTTGATTAACGTCACCTCATATAGCACGGCCCGTCATTGCGCTGATGAAAAAAGAGAGGACCCCTTGAATCACACGGGGTGGCCCCCTTGGAATGTCAGTTTCTGAAAGCAATTCCAAAATGATGCACGCGACTGACCGTCCAAAGCGCCCGGCCCAGAGACTGGCGGCAGGCGTCCGCTGACGACATGCACCTGCATAACATTCGCAAGGAGCGGTAAAAGACTTGCAAGAGCGGTAAGACAATTCGCAAGAGCAATGAGAATGGTTTAAGGACGAGATCAGTGGCGGAACTCAGAAAGAGAAGCGGGACGAGAGGCTTGACCGAAAACCGCAGGATTGCATCTCCTCAGATTGAGTGATCGTCGACTCAGCTCATTGACAAAGACTTGAATCAGAGAGCAAAATCGAAAGAAAAAGGCGAAGTCGATGATAATATTGGCCCCATCTACAATGTCGCATGCTAGAGAGCAAGAAAACCAGAGCTTTACGTAGAGAGAAGCACCACGTTGGATCTGCAAATCGTTTAGGCGACGTCTTTCGTACCAGTATTGCCGCTCTCCTGAGAAAAGGCACCAGCGCGGCTTGCACGACGGCCATCAGAGCTAGGTCCACGGGAGCGGGTTCGTCCGCATCGGACCGCCGAAGCGCGGCGGCTGCGAGGAATGCTTGCGCTGCGGCCGCGTGATATGCGACGTTGACCATCGCGAGGGCGCCGGTGTGAGAGGGGAAGCCCACGTGGGTCTGCAGACGAAAGGGCGTAGGTTAAGGTAACCAAAGATGGTTAGACGGGAGGGTGTTAAATTCAATGGGAAGGCACACGTGGGTGTCCAGCTGCTGGGTTGGTCGAAGCCGGATGGTAATGTTCTGACCAACTTTAGCTCACACAACTTGACGCTCCTTACTTTGCAGAAGTCGGCGAGCAAAACAGGCATGACACACGAGACGCTCGGGTACTTTGACCCTTAGACAAACTGGAAGCAGCTTTTGAAGCGAATCAGTGAACAGAAATTTGCTAGGGCTCGTAGCATTGCAACCCTACAGTGCTCAGACCCCAGAAAAGTGTCTCCGACTGTCAATTGCTCCTTGAGAGGCTCCCTCAGTAACGGAGGCTTGATTGCCTGCACGTAAATGTTTGTGAGGAAGCTCTCGCCAAGAAGCCCAGAGGATTTGGAAGCAAGCTTTTCAGTTGCTGGCACAGCCACTCTGGGCAGAATAAGCGCATCGTCTCTACCTGAAAGAGGAACACCAGGATCCAGAACGGGTCCTGTTCCAGCGGCGACTCGTCCGACGCATCCTCTTCTTCCGTCCCCTCATCTGGTGCCCCCGAGGTCGCATCCATAGCCGCGGGAGAGGGATCCCCCGTTACATCCCTTTCTTCGAGTGGTTGTTTGTCTACTTTTTGGGGGCCGTTTGCTCCAGCACGAACTGCCGCTTCGCCATCCGAAAGCGCAGCATCTTTGCCTTTCCGATCGAGAGGACCTGACGCTTCCTTCGCGCTAGGTTCACTTCCCAGCCTACCCCTGAACTGGGCACCAAACTCTGGGGCTGCGTTCGCTGTCGAGCTGACCCCACTTGCCGCCGCGACCCTTTCCCCGAGGCTGTCACTTTGACCGTTATCTGGCACCCCCATCGGACCTGTTGCGTCATCCCCATTCCGACCCTTCGGATTAAGCCCACCGCCACAGACAGGGCCAGCCCCAAGCGCCGCCTGCCAGTCTAGTATACCCATTTCCCTTTGCATAAGGGGTTCCTCGTCGAAAGTGGTGGAGAGGACCGCTAGCTTGGCCAGCGCGCGCAGCGCCCGCCAGTGCGCGCTCGCGCCCCCCCACAGCTCCAAGAGCTCGCCTTCTACCTGGTCTGAGGAGGTGCCACGTGGCGCAGCCCCAGAACTGCCACGTGTCTCGACCTCGCAGTGGACGACGTTGGCGGCCAGAATGGACCACAGCTCCTGCAAGAAATTGAGAAACCAGGTGTCGTGACTGAGTTCAGCGCTTTTCCGCGAAGCTAAACAAAAGTAGGCACACGACCGTACTTTGCAGACTGCCATGTTTGATATCAAAGACACACTTGAACCCGCAGCTCAGCAGACACCGGATACTTGAGCGTGGAGTACGATTCTAGATTTGCTTCGTTCCTTCCTTTCATATTGCCCGCTGTGGTCACTCTGTTCTGTCTCTCCTACTTGCTCCCTTTTAGTAAAACTCTCGTCTAGTAAACTACACTGGAAGTCATGTGATGGTTGCCTAAGGAAACACGTGTTATAGGCAGCTTGACTGATGGCAAGACTGTGCAAAAATCTCGCAGCGCTGACTTGCACCTACCCGCCATACGAACGGAGGGCTGGCCAAGTCCGGCGCAGGGACGTCCGGTTGGCTGTCCATACGCAGGATGCGGCACTGCGAGCACAGTGGACAAGAAGAAGGGTCAGCTATAACCGATCAAACACAAGGAAGATAATAACAAGCTAAGATAATAAGAAGGTAACCGCACTGGGACGGGTGGGGTTTAGTTAGGGGGTTATGGTGCGTAGGCGTGCGGAGCAGATTCTTTTTTAGTTTAGGGTTCTCGTATTAGCCGGAGCTTAGAATTGTCAGATTTTTAATACCTGATCGTTACCTATATCGACTCAATGTCGTTGGTCTCTGTTAGAAGTGCCAATTGAGGATTATTCGTGGCAAAGCTGTTGCGGACTTTGTCACCCTCTTTCCAGCTCCTGGGATCTGGCGATGAGCAACGTGGTTGTTATACAACAGAACCTGCGCTAAAAAAGCTTTTACTGACCAGGACGTTCCAGCCCTCCGACTTTGCTGACACGCGGCTCGCGAATGCTGGATGGCGCTTGATCAAGTACTGACCGGAAGCGTCGAAGTACTCAGCGTGGCACCCTCGAAAGACAGTTGACCTGAGCATCCTGCTTTGAATAGTACGTTGTCCTGACCCGACTCAGCAAATCGTTGACCGCTGCTGTTGAAAGGCCACTTTGAGAGACTGTGAAGCACAAGTCGAAGCGCGTACCTGCCCCACAAACAGTTGACACCAGTTTTCGTACTGCCGGAACTTTGCGTTCCAGAACTGGTGCAGGGCAGGGTCTGCACTTTGGGACAGTCCCGCTAGAAGCCCAGGGAAATTGGACGCTGGAAGTTGCTCGGACGGTGCGTCCGATTCAACGGTCCGAACAACCGGGGGCTCGGTTTCCACGTCGGGCAGCAGAAAGTTGGAGAGGCGGCGGCAAATGGGGCACAGGTACTCGACGCGAGCCAGGTTGATGATGCCATAACCTGGACATTTGACAACACGCTGTAGGGTTTTGGAGATTCTCAGTTTGAATCCATCAGGGCAAAGTATGGACGCCAGTCGCTCAACTACATCTCCTGAACCGCAAGATTGCAAGTGGTGGGGTTGCTGTTGCAGAATGGTGAGGAGATTGAACGTCACCGTGTTGGAAGCATCCAGAAAGTATTCGCAATCACAGCCGAATCACATTCCCTGCTCAAAGAACGGCCGGTTGTCTTTACAACAGCAGGCCCTCGGAGCCCCCACCAAAAGAACGCTCCTTTGCCCATCAAAAGAAGGATGGTTTGTAAGTCAGCCAACTGACGTTGCACAGTCATAGCTTGATGAAGAGGAAAGAGCTGATCACAGTCAATATGCACTTTCATGCGGTGGCAGAAAAAGTAGACTTGGCGGTTGCTGACCTTCATAAACCCTGCCGCTGTCTCGACTGTCCCCGAGCGCCTTCACATAGCGCTGGAAGCATTCCATGTGCATCTGCAACAGAAGAAGCCAAGGAGCTAGCATCAGCGAAAAATTAGATAAACCTTCGTTTGGTTACAAACACTCGGTGCTTTGCGGTGCTGATCAAGCTCGGTCACAATATGCAGCAACAGCAACTCTGCTGCCTATGTCGATTGTGATCGGAGGTGGGGCGCAGTCAGTCAGCACAGGACCGGATTCGTCCCACATGACCGATGTCTCACAGGGCTGATCTCGAAAGGCCAAACTGTCGAAAAGGATCTGTCCAGCTTACTTGATGACCGCAGCAGCCCACGTGCTCCCCAGTAGCGTACAAATCCTCGCCACGTGTCCCATCGACCGTGCCTTCTTGAGCCAGCACCGAACAGAGTATCCGCTCCGCCCCTTCCCCGTCTCTTTCGCAAGTCGCCTGCTCCTCGGCTTGCTCCAGAGTCTCGACTCTCTGCAGCTGCTGACTGGCTTTGGCGGGTATGTTGCTCATTTGGATGAAGGCAATCCAGCCCATGGGGCTAGGGTTCATCTCTTGCTGCAGCAACAGATAGGAAGGTTAGTTGCGGGGTTAAGTTAACCAGAGGCCGAGTCAAAAAGTCAGCTTGGAGCGTTCTTGTCACTTCCTGGGCCGGTCCTGCTATGGGGCCACTATTTGTCACGTTCTGCTGCAAGAAACTGGCTCAAGATCAAATGCATCTGACAGACCAAAAACCCGTCATGTAGAGACTGCGGTTCTGCTCTTCTCTTGTAGCAGCGTGCAATTCTGCAAAGGCATCTCGAAGATGCCCATAGACGGAGTGGATTGTACCTGACCGACAACAATCATGAACCTGGACTTATCAAACAACAGAGCAGTTTCAACTTTCAAGCAAGGTATTGAAATATCAATCTGCATCGGTCACATTCAGAGGTATGCAAATAAATACAATAATAAGAACAGGCACGGCTCTTTCTCCACTCACGTCGCCAAGACAGAAAGCACACTCTCTGTGCACACGCTCGTGGACGCGCCCCGATGGCCCCGGTTCTTGGTGGACGGTTTCTCCAACGCGGACGGCGTTATCCTGTTGCGCCGCACCGAAAGTAGCTTCCGTTCCCGAAGGCCCCGCTTCCGAAGCCGTTCGCGACTCGCTCAGGAAGGCCTTCTGCCTGCAGATTAAGTAAAACTATCTTCACGAACCGACTTTGAGAAGGTTGCTCACTTAGACTCTCCAGTCCCAATACACCTGGATGCTTTAACGTGACAAGCTGCTGTCCCTGCCTCCTTGACAAGGGCAGAACTGTAAGGGCTTCTCCCAAAAAGCGCAAGCCGGATGGCGAGGCCTTTTGCATTGCAAGCGAAGGTACAAACGAAGAGGCCGTGCTCGTTTGCAACTTCTAGCTACGCACTTCAAAGGATACGTTTGAGGTTATAAAACGGACTTGCAGCCCAGCTGGTGACGCAAAACCCCGCACCTTGCGGCGAAGTCCGCTAGAATAGCTGCCTGCCGTTGCTTCTTCAGCTGGCGCTGCGACTCGGCGTCTGGAGAGGAAGTGCTCGCCTGGACACGATCAAGCACGACAGTAAGATCAGATGATCGGACACTTGCAGATCCTCAAAGCTCCACGGCCATCGGTAAGCCTTACTTATCCTTGATCTGTGTAAATTCTGTGAAAAATTTCTGCCCTCAAAGCACCATCGCATGAGTCCTTGGTGAGAGATAGGAGAAGGCGCCATAGAGGCAGATAATACTGGACATGACGGTGTAATTCAAAGCTCCCCCTCTGCTCCTTTTCGTTCTCGTGAGGAGCTGAGCTGCCCTCGTAGAAGGCTCGCCCCGCTGGCGCCTTCAACTAAGAAGCACTGCCGACCCCATTTGGAACCAAGAGCTTGATGAATTAAGCTCGGTCCGCAAGGCAGCAGACATGAAGCAAAAAGTCCCGCGCTTTACCTCTGCAGTCGCCAGCGGAGCTTCGGTTTTGCCGATGTCCACAGTGAGCGCTTTCGTCGTCTCGAACACGTACTGTACGGAATCCAGCAGGCCTGCAATCGAAAGTAACCCTCGTCAAAGCTTGGCATAGCAGCCATTGATCAATCAGAGTGCGAACCTCGACATTAGCATCGCAATGCACAATAGGACAGGCCACATTTGGTGAACAAAGGAAAACCTGGCTGACAAGTGCGTTTGAGGTATCTTGAATCTTGGCAGACATGGATTATGGGCGAGACAGAAACCATTGGTAGCCGCAATCAGGGGACACATTAGTAGCTGGCCGAGGCATGCGCGGGGATCTGATGCAGCTCTTGGTCTTTAAGAAGTTTGATTCGAGGAAGGGGTTGTCGAAATCTCTTTATCCACGTTAGTTGGTCAATGACGAGACACAGTCGAAAGGGAGCAAGTCCCTAACAGCTGCTTACGGTTTGAGTTGGTCGCCTGCCGAATGCGCCTGAACAGATCCAGCATGCTCCATCCGTCGCTAGTCCCGCCTGCCCCTCGGCGTATGTTGACGGCAATGTCATTCAACGCGAAGTTGAGGAAAGGCCAAAAGGTGGAAGGCTCGTGGGGAGTGCACGATCGATACCGTCGGTTGCCTGGTCCTTGCCTGTGGAATAAACCGAACGGGCAGTATGTCGGAGATCACCAGTTCTTGCTCTACTTAAGACACCAGAATTGGATTGTAATGCCGCTTGCAGTTTACAGGACGCACGAGCTGAAAGTGTTTCAAAAAGCTGTGTTGGTTCACTTCTACTGCTGTGTCCTAGAGTTGGGGCCTTTGTAGAAGAAAAGCGTGTATTACAGGCTGAAAAAAGCCGTGTATAAGCACCAGCCTTTCAGAACGCCAAGTCGCAGCCCCCCCCTCATCTCGACGAGCAGGCTCCCTTGAACTTCAACTACCAACAAGACTCCACCTACCCACTGTGTGTAGAGTGCCTAACTAAATAAGGATGAAGTTACAGGCTGCCATGTGTGCTCTGCATACCGGTCATCAAGGGCCGCGGTCGTGATGAGCTGAGAAACCACCACGCCAAGGGATTTCCCGACCGTGGAGTTGGTCTCGCTTTCCAGAAGCTGCAGCGACTGGTCCAGGGCCACGTAGAGGAACCGATGGAACACCTGCGGCCGGAAATTCGTCATTAATCAGCCGAGGAGGGAACACCCTTATGTTTGCTTGAGTGGTAAGGGACGGCAATAAAACCATGATAGCTACAGTACGGCAGTCACATGCCACTTGGATGAGTGAGATCTGTTGAGAATGAGACTTCCTTTCGTCTTGAAGGCGACGGGGGGCCCAAAAAATCATGAGTGCAACTATGACTCTCAATGCCACAGAGAGGGATTCTCGAGACGGATACTGTACAGAATATTGCAATAACGGCGGAGCCTTTATCAAGCATGCTTGAGACACTCTCCATGAATGCGTCAGCTTCGTTCCAAACACCTCAGGGAAGAAGCTGGATATGTCCTTTTTGTCTCGACAACCCACCTGACTATGAAGAATGTTGCAGAGGGTATCGAATGGGGGTTGTGCTGCTTCTAGCGGCGGCAGGCGCCAGTAGGAACCAAGTTTGCCAATGTCTACTGCACGTGACTGCAATGAGTAACAAAGATCAGTTTGATATGCGTTCAAAATGTCAATGCTCGCACGCAACGTGTTGAAATTGCTGGCCCTTTCGATAAATTCAAGACACAGGTTCACTTTATCCAAGGCTGCTACCTCCAGGAACCTGAATCTTATTTACAAAATTCGTGAGCAACTTCTCACCAGCGCCTCTTCTAGGTCGCCCTTGGTGTAGTGCGCAAAGAGCACGTCGAACTCCCGCCAGCACTCGGGCTTCAACCGGTAGAAGCCGCGCTCTTGAAGCTGCAGATCAGAAGCGAAATGAACGCGTCAGCTGGTGGACAATAAACGCCGGAACACGAGCGGAGAGCGCCATACGGTGGCGTTCAAGTCGAAGCGACAGAAACAAGCTCAGAAGGACCCTAGGCATCGCATTCAAGTAATCCAACACTGCACGCTGTTTGTGGGGGCATCCTCTTCGGAAGTGTGCTCCTTCGCGAAACGTACAAAGAGGACAAGCCTAAAACACTTAACCGCGAACTTCGTAGATCAGTAACATCAAAAAGGGCAATCCTAAAGCGTTAGCCTCACCTTGGGCACCACGTAGGTGGCCACACTGCGGAGGACCTCTTCCAGCCGTGCGTGGCTGGACAGAGCCTGAGGCAGGAAGTTGCTCAGCTGCAAGAGGGCGCAAACATAACGCACTTCAGTTCCGAGCCCTCACTCAACCGGACCAGAAGATTTACGCTGAGAATCCGCAAGTTCACAGTGATCGCCATGGAAGTTTGTCAGCAGGGCAGAGTACGTTTAACAAATGCTATAACGTCAAACAGGGTCCTAAATGGATCCCTGATTTATATGTACATGCCATGGAAAGCCTACTACGGTATGGCCTATGAGGCCACGGCGTCAAAAGGAGAAGATGATCATGCTTGATAGATAGATAGAATTACAGTCCGTTCACTAATCATAAAGATCCCTTTGCAAAGGCAACTGGATAGGAATACCAGCTGCTCAAACGAGGATGTTCCAACTGCAGTCCAGGCCCCAGCAAGGCCTCAACTTGCGCGGCTTACCGTGCTGTATGTCATGTCCTTGCAGCACAACCACTGGATGACCTCGTAGCGCACCAGCTCGATCTGCACGCCGCGTGTCAGCGATGACGTCAGCAGCGGACGGGCTGAAAAGCCAACCTTTCTGTACAGAGGAAAGATAGAGGACCCGTGCCCGAATCTTTCGACCTCTACAACAGCCGGAGCTGTCCGGATCTCACAAGAAGACCCAACACTGAAAGTCCAGCATAGACAAACGGCTCTATATACGTGCCGAGCAACGTCGTGAAGATGCAGATATCATTCTCCGAATGTCCTTGTCCAGTTCCTCGGCCGCAAGGATCGAAACTTGGTCAAAGCTTGGTCAAGCAACCTTGAAGTCGACAGGGGTGATGGAAGGGAGGCGTTGATCAACGTGTCGTAGACATGCGTTCACTAACAGAATGATGAGTGAGAAAGGAGTGCAATCTGCCTCTGCTTGAGAACGACCTTACCTCTGACATTGCAATGTATCTCCTTTCTCTCACAAGCTGCACCGGAGGGAGGGGCAGTCAGAAACGAGGCACCGTCTCTACTGAGTCTGTAACCACATCTTCCAAACAAGGCAGCTGAAAGTGTTGAGTGCGTTGGATGGCTCCAGCACGAGTAAAGTTGCCTTTACTGGTTCCCCAACGTTCCGTTGAGTATCTGGCAGTGATGTTCAAGCAGCCTTCCTGAAGCAGCCAATCTCAAAACTCCCTTAAAGACCATGCTATGGTCCACAAAATACGAAGTTCCTGAATCTATGAACGCTGTACCTTTATCGGCGTCCTTCTTTGATAGTTCCACCTTCCTCACCATACCCAAAGGTGACTCACAACTCTGAATGGACTTTACACAACAAACTCAAGCGACGGAATTTGACGATGCAAACTGGTTTTCTCCGGATCAAACTCTTTCCGCAATGGCGGCCAAAGGGCCGTTTTACCTCTGTATCTTCTACGCCCGCTAGATCTGGGGCTTTGCTTCCACCGTTTTCTTGCTTCCCGCAAGAAGAGAAGAGAAGAATGGAGGCTTGCCTACTTACCTGTAGGATCAGCCGCAGCACTTCGAGCATGCGGGCGAGGGTGGCGCTCCGTATCTGGGGGTCGGAGCTAGAGGGGTCGGAACAGGGCCTGCCGTCCTTCGTTAGCAGGTCCGCCACCTGATACGCCGGAATGTGGAGTCAAATTGCCGCCAAAAGCCGACAAAACCCCGTGAAAGAAGGACAAGAACGTGATCGACGCAACACTGCCCAGGTCCTCTTGCAGACAGTCTTGAAGTCGTAATTCGCCAACGTCGATAGACGCCTCTGCCCCAATGTGCTTCCAGGCCTTGGAATCTTTCAGCATGCTTGGTCATCTGTGTTCGTCAATTGATATAAACTCGTATGAGAGCGACCCTTCACAGCCATGTAGCACGCACCCCTCTGTAGAAAAGATGCAGGCAATCAAGTAAGTTTCCCGACAGTTGCACGCCGGTGCTTCACCTTGTAGCGCTCCAAGATTTGAAGAAGCAGCTCATCGGAGTCCTCGCCCCCAGTCGCAATGCTGAATTGGACCACGAGCACGTCCATGTCCATCGTCCTGCAAACGAGTCGGGAGTCAGCAACACAAAGTGCACGGTTACCGGCAAAAGACGAGCGTGAGAGGCAAAAACGGCAGAAAACTCATCCAAGTTTGGATAGGAATCTCGCACACAACTTTTAAAAGACAGCCTGAGTTAGGAGCGCAAAGGGAATTCGACTTGGAAGACGAAAGCTCGTCGCAAGCTGCTATTGTTCATAAGCAGCGATATGACTCAGATAATGCTGGGGTTGACCTCGAAATCAAAGTTGTTGAGTGCTAGAACTTGAAGAACGAGATTCTTGGGCCACAAGGCGAGCAGAAAGATGCATACACGCATCGGAATTTCCAAGCGAGACTCAAGGAGAGATTAGGCGTCCTTTTTTGAGGTCTTCCACTAGGATACAAAGTTGAAGTAGCTGAAGAAGGCGCAAACGATTTGGCGTCGCTGACCAAGGAGAAGAAGCGAAGCTAAGTCTCGTTCAATCTTCTGGGAAGGCATCCCGAAACACTCTCATGCCAAATGGTTTTGAGAGACACCGGAGGGGCGGCTCACTGCTCATTCCAGTAGGCGCTTTGGTAGACCCGCTCCAGCCGTGCCAGATCCTCGCCCTGGTTGCGCCACTGGCGGCCCCGAATCTGTCAGGAAAAAGTGATATAGGCGTTCACCATCTCTCAGAAAAAGCGCCCCACATCGTTCCGGCACATCCTTCTGTCCGTAGAGCGTCATTCGCTTCTGTACTGGGGCCTGAAAGATTCTTTGCCATGCCAAAAGTTCGGAATCTTTTAAGACAAGATTCTCGAATTGCTCGTGATGGCAATGAAGCGAAGCAGGTAGAAGCGAGAGCGGCTGCGTGCGTCATTGTCATCGAACACGCTGTCTCAGCGGCAGATATTGTGGGAAGGGGTCTTCAAAAGGACGGCGTTGTGTTGAAGTCTTTCCAGAAGCTCAATCAGAAAGCTCAACCTCACCTCAGCCATCCAGAACAGGATACGGAGAGGGTACTCCATCAACTGGCCAGCCTGCACGATACAAGATTAGAGTCAGCTGATGGTCTCAGACTTGCCAAATGACTTCAGCAACGTATGTGGGGCTGATGACAAGCTCATCAACAAGTGCTTAAAGATAAAATCAAAGATAAAAGTGAATATGGGAAGAAGCAAGAAGGACATTCAAGTAGCTTCTTTTCATCCGAGCCCCTGAGAATGGGCCTTCTCCAATGCAACCTACCTGGCTCGCTGCCCAGTGCTTGCCTGCCACACCTGGCGGCTCCGCCAGCTTCCTCTGCGACTCCACTTGACTCGCCAGGGTTTGCAAGCATGCACGTGCCTCAAACTGGTCAGCCACGCCTGCTGACGTGGCAAAGTGCAGGAGCTTGGCGAGGACCATGCCGAAGGCGCGGTGCAGGGGGAGGTGCAGGGACATGCAGACGCCCGAGAAGCCGAGCCGGGAGTTGGGAGCTGAAGACAGGTAGTCCTGTGAGAGGAAAGGAAGTCAGGATGCTTCCGAAGTACTTGAGACCTGGTAAGCTTTAGGTCCGGAATCAACCGATTGGAGAGGACAGATTTGTAAGAGATTGTGCGCAGTTTTCGGTGCTTTTAGTAAGCGTCAAGCAGTAGAGATCGCTGGCGACTTCGGAGCAGATCCGCAGTCGGCTGAAGAGGACAATCCTTCCGACGTTGTCCTGAAGAAGTCCTCAAAGCACGAAGAGAAGGTTGCGCAGCGAGTTTCTCAAAAAGACTTCACAGAACATACCAAAAATTGTTCCTACATCATAGCATCTGTTTCAAAGGAACTGAAGGGAAGTTCCGCCCATGCAGGAACGTCACAGTGTTTGTCGGTGCCCTATTAGACGGCACGCAAGGGGCGATGTGGTGCAGCGAAGGAGAAGGCGCAAGAAAGCGCGTTGCTGTTCCACGACCTTCAAATGTTTCCAAAAGTTACAATTCCCTGGACAAGAAACCAGCGGCATCCTCACACTGATATAGAACCTCGCCAGCATGGCGTGCATGACGGTAGCCGCGCTATGCAGCGCAGGGAACAGTAAGCGGCGTGAGGCTCCGGCGAAGCCAGGCGACTCTTGGGAAGGGTCGCACCCCGTCAGAAGCTGGGTCATAAGGCTGGTCATGTACGTCTGGATGAAAACAAGAGGACGGGTCTCAATGAATAGCATCGGAAGGACGGGCTCAGTTCAGCAGGTTCAGTGACCCTAGCTTGTACAGGCGCAGGCAGGGAGCAGCAGCTCGGTTCTTATTTCCGAATGCAAGTTCTTTGGATGTGCCGATTTGCAGACAAACGACACTGCCGTCGCCTGCCCAGCAAGACCACAAACAGAGCTGCACTGGGGCGGTTTGCAGCGATTCCTATTCGTCCGATAGGTTTGTCGAGCCGAAAGCTTTGACGGGTATCGAAGGGGAGCGCAAAGCAGCCAGTGCAAATCGCTCTACTGCAGGCACCCACTGAATGCTGACATGCAAACCGGGAGATAACACAACATGCAACATTACACAAGGCCTACAAAACCAAGGAGAAGATGTCGGCCGAGGCAGATGTGTCCATACAGCAGGGCACGCTCAGAGGAGTCGAAGCGCTCACCTCCATTGCTACCGCGTGCATCCAGCCAATGTCCTCGTCCAGATCACGAAAAGCAAGGTGGTGAATGGGATGCATGTTCTGCACGGACAGTGCGAAGGACACGGGCTGGTAAGAGGTCGGCAATCAGCATACTGCCAAAAAAGCCCCAAAAAAGCCCCGGCTGATCGGACCGCCGTGTCTTTTGACAACAAGTTGCACTCCAGAGTATCGAAGATGCCGTCCTTGTTCATGACGCGACGACGAAAGTTGCATGCCAAGCAGGTTTTCCTCACAGGGACACGTCTCAGAGCACATTCGTAACCGACGGCCAAAGATCTTATCTTCATGACTCTGTAATTAAAGATGGTGACACTCTGCTGCAGCATGCGGCAAAGCAGTATTAGAATCAACGGGGTCAGACTATTTACCGGCCACCGATTACACAGCTGAGCCCTAGGTCTTAGGGGGTCCAACCTACAGCTACATTCGAGAGCCCAAAGTCAACCCGTCAGGTTGAAGGTACTTGAGACGGTTCTAGGAAAACTTGATAATCGCCTGAAAGCCTTACCTGGAGCGTCTCCAGCAGAGCGAGGTAGCCGTGGAGCAGGTCGCTGCGCTGCACGAGGATGTAGAGGCCCACCTCGTGGTGCGACACGATCAGCCGCAGGTCGCTGAGTGGCCGCGTGTACAGCTGCGTTGCACAGGTAGCTCGTCAACACGGATGGTGCACTTCAAAAGCTCTATCGTGAACAGACTAGGAGAGGAAAGAGGACACGAAAACAAAGTCGAGCAGGTGTCGAGCGACATTGTTTGTGCTGAGGACTGAGTGCTCGGTCTGCGGGGTAATCAGTAACGCGCACTCATTACAAGTGAGGTAAGAAAGCAGAATATCGGCCAGCGCACCTTCAAAGACCCCCGTAAAGCCCTGTTCCGTACTTGAGCTCTCCATGAGATCGGGCTGTTACCAGAATGCAGTTGATACTCATTGTCTGAATGATTTGTAAAAGAGTCTCACCAATCGCGTACGGGGCGTACGGCGGAAGTAATTCTTTTCATGTATGCCTTCGAATGCTCACCCTGTTTGCGATGACATCATGATTGCAGTTGATCATGTTCGTGTCTCTGGAAGGACGTGTGGCAAAAGCGGTGTCAGCAAGAGAGCAACCTTAGCGCGAGACGGCGCGTCCAAAGAGGGAACAGCATCAGCCGCAAGCAGCCAATGTTTCAGCGACCTCTGGAAAGCAGTGTCTACAGGCAAGTGCGCAGCCAATTGAAGCCTAGCGTGAGCAAAACCTTTCAGACTGGGCAGATGCGAAGTTGCTAGTACTGCCCGTACGAAAACCCTCACAAAACAAAGCGGGCATGCAACAGCATGAGCAAGGTCTGGAGGTGCGCAACGGAGGGCTTACGGGTCCATAGCCTTTTTGAGCAAATCGCGAAGGACGTGGAGAAAGCAGTCGAGAAGACGCTCCTGCTTGATCAGATCCAGCGTAATGCTCTCCACGTTGATCAACTGAACCATCACTGCACGAAAAGGGCGCTAGATATTATTTTCCATAACCCCCTCTTTCTGACGTGCAGAAGTACATGCAACGCGTGTATTGGGGACTTGAAAACAGGTTAATGCTGGAGCTTTCGAAGGGCCAAGTCCGTCGAACTGGGAAAGTTCCCGGTTGGAACACCAGTCAACATGAGGCCAACTCCGACGAAAAACATGTACGGGCCTGTCTGCTCTTTGACTTTCGAGAAAGAGACCGAGAGCATGATATGGCTGACAGCGGAAGAGCCTGCCAACAAAACTCAGGACGTCCCGTGACTTGGGTGTTACGAAGAATAAAATGGGAGAGAGTTGCCGCCCTCTTCCGGTTCCAGTAGTAGCACTTGGGGCGCTTGAACATTGCACGAACACAGACGAAAGCAAGCAAACATTAGAGATTCGGAAGAGTATCAAATCCTGCGCTTAATTTCGGCAGGCGCTCGACTCACCTCTGTCGAGGCACGAATCAAGCAGCTTGAAGGCGTCCTCGTTGTGGACGTTGTTGAGCACCCAATCAGCGTAGTTGCGCAAGAGCACCCGCGAGAAGGACTTCTTGAACTGGTGGTTGTACAGCATCAGCAGAAATAGCGTCGTCTCCTGCAGAACAAACGGTTACGTGGTTCTGAACACTGCATTCGCTCAGCGTATGGTGTCCGTGGAGCATAGCGAAGATTTTAGTCGGCCCTGGAAAGGAAGAAACATGCGCAGGGGGTTCAAAAGCTTTCAAGAATCTCCAGCGCACCGTCCAGCCAGATCATTCTAACGGCCACTTTCAAGAGCTCGACGAGTCGCCCGAATGGATCCCGGTTCTTCGCTGCCCTACGTGACCCCTTCGGTTGAATCAACGTCAGATCAACAACGTGGGAAATCCAGCAAGTACTTGAGAACGGAACGAGACCGTTTCAAGGACCTCCTTGCATGCGAGTCCCTGAAGTAGACCCTGTGCCGCTTAGCGATGGTGGTTTAATTTCCTGTCCGCAGGTAAAAGATGTCGGTGAGACGCACAGACATTTTCAAGATAAAGCTCACCTCCTCTGCCACGCTGGGAACGATGACGAAGTTCTTGAGTAGGACGCTGAGAGGAGCGAGGGGCCCAGGCTGCACAGGGAAGCAGGGAAACGTCCGCTTTGAACGCTGCTTTCAGAAAAGGATGGAGAATGGAAAACAAAGGAGATCGACTGAGGCTGATTTCTTTGGTCGTTCTTTCGACCAAGAAGCACGGTCTTTTGCGAAAGGATGTGCAATTCACGTGACCAAGCATGAGCCCATGGCTTGCAGCACGATGCCATCAAAATGAACAAGGCGAGGCCACTGCGCCAGCTTCCCAAGTGAATCGCCAAGCTTCGATCCAAAATGGCATTGCTCACCTATATATCTGCACTTGATTCAGCTTCTCATGATTCTACGGCGACGGTCCAGCCATGCCCCTTCTCCAGTCAACCAAAAAACGTTTTTAGATCAATAAACGACCAGGGTCCAAGTTGCAAACCCGGAAAATCCCCCTTGAGTGTCGCTTCCGAGAGGAAGGTCGGCCAACTTGATCAAAGGTCCTCCTTCATGTCATAATTGTGTCAGAAAATGGACAACCTCACCTGAGGCTCCAAACTCCCTTCTGCGGAACCCCCAGCCATTTCCCGGCAGACGACCTCGCGGAGTGCCGGAACGCTACAGATCTGCGACAAACGGAAAAAGCTTCTCGAGTTTGGCCAGAGTAACTGCAAGAATTCCACATGAAGTGACAAGTAAACTGCCTCCGTAGCTCGTAGCTTTCAGATGGGAGGACTGGTTTGGGTGAAAGAATAAGCACGGTGAATCACGACAAAGGTCCCTCGCAATGGCATCACGCACGAATCTCCCAAGATTCGCCCTGGAAACTTTCAGGCGCATCTGAAGGCCGTCAAGTTGTGTCATGATGACAACGCACCTGCTGCAGCCATTTCAGCACGAGCTCAGTGCCTTCTGAGACAGTGGTGATCCCCAGTTCCAGCAGGCTGACCATCCCCACCAGCCGGGCCAAGAGCAGGGACACTGGAATCAGAAAAAGAACTTGGTCAAATCGTGAATGAAAACTTTATTCACAAGTAACGAACAGATACAACCAGGGATGCTTATTCTTGCCAAGAAAGCATAGAAAAGTGTGAGCACCTTGGACATTCATGCTGAATAGATGATTGGGGCAGGTGTCAAGCATGTATTTGAAGATTGGTGAGATGTTTCTAATCCACCTTGTTCTGTCATTCTCGTGTTCTGCTAACATGGGGCTTCCTGCACCATCACGCGGACCATGAGAACCAAGGGTTTTTCCTGCCTACCAAGCTTCTGGAAGACCGCAAGGGTCCGTTCTGGAAGCACTTCGGCGGCTTGCTCGCGGTGAGCATGGAGGGAGCAGAACCTGCGGAGGCAAGCAGGCTCGTCGCACTGATGGCCTGACTCCAGCTTCTCTTTTCAGAAGGTTTCATTGCATGGCAGGGAGCACTTGATTGTAAGACCATGTTTCAGTGAAGCAGCAAGGCTTCGTGTCTCCAGAGGATAGGTTTGAGTACTTCCAAGCCTTTGGAAGCTCTTGAAAGCAGCTGTCAGCAAGCCTGCACAAACTCCTCACTGCCTCTCGAGAGATATGTTGTAGATTGGAGTAAGAGGCCTTACCCTTCCTCTTTGAGTGACACAGGATCTCCACAATCGCAACACCCGCCTGCGGCGCTGCGGTACATGATGTAGTCATGCTTGACGTGGGGGCCAGCCTTGAAGCACTCCACGCATATCGCGCTGGAGTCTGTCACTTGGCAGTCTCGGCACCTGAGGGGTGCAAGATCCGTCAGCCTTACAATTTTGAGAAAGCATCAGCATTGCTTAGTGTCTGTGACAATCGCGGGGTTGAGTGCTGAACTTGGTCTGCACATAATCAGAATATGTTTGGTGTCCATCTCAGGCGGTGTGGCAGCGAATGTGCATTTTGCAAAGAAGTACGCTTAAATACTTCATAAGTGCGTGCCCCTTTAGGATGTCCAGGCTGATGCTTTTGCAAATCTTGCTTTGGGGGACTTTCAAGTTTCATGCAATGTTCAGTCAACCAGTGCAACTAGAAACCTCGACCAGCTAGCTGAAAAGTGGGACAAACAGAATCTTCCGAGAACCAGAATGATGGTGGTCGCACCAACAAAAACGAAACCCTTCTCCCCAAGGTGCGTCTCCAACAATGGAAACTTCTCAGAAGCAAAGCCCAGAGGAATGCACCAAGAGTTTCCTGACTAGATCAACAGACCTGTAGGCAAAGCTGCCTGCTCTCCACACTGTAGTGCATGGGGACCGCTCGACGCTCCTCAGCTGGGCGAGGTACTGTGCGAGTGGCAGTCCATTGCTGCATTCACTTGTCACTATCTTCTCCACCAATCCTAAGCCAACACGGGCATCGTCCTTGCTCCTCCAAGGCCTTGTGAAAAGCTCGTCATCCATCTTTGGCAACTTGCTCGCTCAATCTGCAAGCTTTGCTGCACCACCAGGTCCTTTGCTCCAGAAAGGAACGGACGGCTCAAGCATTTCATAAGGACAACCGAGGGGCATCTGTGAGCATCTGAGCAACCTCCTCTCGACGATGTCTTCAAAGGTTTTCAGCCCTGTGAAATGAAGGGAGCCCTCATTCAGCGTTCGTCATGGAGGCCACAATGCTTCCTGAGCTGACCCTCAAAACCCTAATTCCTGGACAGCAAACTAGACATGAGTGCATGTAACTGTCGAAGCGGTAAGGGCTGACCTCAAAACCTGGCCTTACCTTATTTTTGACCATATTTGACCACGTTCTAGCAACGTTCACACATCAACGGTGTTAGCCATGCCTCGATCCTATCGTACGGCCGACAGACTCTAGGAAACGGCTCGTATCGCGGTACGTGACAATGCAAATGCAAATGGTGGAAAATGGTGCAGGCAGCAGGACAGTCTTGCCAGGACCCTGCCACTGGACCGCATTCGAACCCTGGCATGTTGCGGACGCCATTGAATCATAATGGGCAGAGGGTGCCAGAGCCTGAGGCAGAAGAAGTCTGACAGTGAGAGCATAGCCGCAGCGCAGACTGCGGCAGAGCGTGGCAGATCGTCAACAATCAACGTGCGCAACAAGGAGACAGCTGCCGTTCGTAGTCCTATATACCCACCAAACATCAGGGAGATTGCTCGTTTTAGCTGCGCTGAATGTGCGGGCGATCTGCATCAAAGGAAAGGTTTTTGTAGGGTGATTTAGACTGAGCTGCGAGCAGGACAACTTTCTGTGAATCTCACTTTTGGCTCGAAATACGCCAATTGCAGAACATGCACCTGCCGAGTTGACCCGCTCGAATAAGCCAGAGGAAGATCCTCCTGGGCCATGGCATCTCGCCAGATAAAGCGATCAGCATCGGCTCGAGGCCTCTTTTCAGAGGCAACAGGTGCTGAATCACCAGGTAGAGCAGCCTCTCCTCGGCCGCACAAAGGTTCACCGACCATGGCTCGCAACAAGGGCGTGCCAGCTGTCGGAGGGGGCGTGCCAGCTGTCCCCCGGCGAGCTAGAATGGGGCCAGAGAATGTTGCCCCAGGAGACTCACCAAATGGTCTGAAGCAGGCCAGGGAAGGCAGCCCTGAGGTCGGGAAGTATAGAAACGCAGCCATGAATGAGTCCCCCGAGAAGGAGCTGGGTGGTCCACTGGTTGAGACCAGCAGCAACCGGCCGTCTCCCAGCAAAAGGAAGCTTGAGTTCACGGCAAAAGCGAGCGCTGCGGACGTCAAAGCTGCAGCAGAAGGAGCTGATCTGGCAGGGCAAGATGACAAGGGGGTGAGAGTACTTATTAGAGTAAGACCAATGAGCAAAGCGGAGATGGTGAGTCAGTCCGAGCAAGGGTTGGTGTTAGACAGGGACTGCTCTTTGATAGCTGATGGCCAGACCTACACATTTGACACTGTGGCTGGGGAGCAGACGACGCAGGCAGGGATGTTTGAGATTGCGGGCCGGTCGGCAGTGGAGAACTGCCTAGCGGGGTTTAACAGCTCCATCTTCGCATACGGCCAGGTGAGGCAGCAAGACGCGAATTCAGCACGCATGTGGTTATGTTTATTGAGACATAAATCTCGTTGGACTTCTGACAATTGAAACGGGTTTGCTATACTTAAGTTGATGCTGCACCAGCACTGCATGTGTGATTCAAACGAGGACTTGCCAAGCCTAAGGCATCCTGTGGAATGGCCAAAGCACCTCTAGAAAATTCAAAGAGGAGATCAAGGCAAACTCTGGTCCACTGACTGAACTATCTCACCTTCCTTCAGCTCCTTCTGATTTCCAGAGAGAGTAGAAGATATGTATGGCAACCATTCAACTAAGTTTATCAGCATTCACAGGCAACAATTTGCTAACAAAGCTTCACAAGTTGTGCGCAGACAGGAAGCGGCAAGACGCACACGATGACTGGGCAGATGGACGGGAGCGAAGCGAGGGGCCTTACGCCCCGTGTCTTTGAACATATGTTTCACCGGATCACAGAGGTGCGGTGGCGTCACGTTTGTTTGATTGTCAACATACTCAAAGATACAAAGAGCATCAAGAAGCATGAAGACCTTTGAGAACAATAAAAGATAAGCAGGCGTGCAAGTCCAGATCTGCAATCTTTTTCTCACTCTTGCACCAAAAGCTGGCCGTTCATTTGTTTTATTGCGTTTTCTGGTGTATGTGACTCAAGTGAGAAGTTACACCAGGGTTTTACCGTAGTCTGGGAGAGAATGTGACATGGAAATAATCTGCAAATCTGCAGGAAGAGAGGGCAAACGTTGACCGAGAGCTGAAGTTCATCTGCAAATGCTCGTTCCTGGAGGTAAGGGCTGGAAGGGAACACCGATTGGTGGGCGTCTATGCTGTGGGCTCATGTCCACTGCCCAATCTGTCAACCAGCTCTTGCACAATCAGCCACAATTACACCAGGCCAAATGTGGTTTGGTTTGGTGTATGTACATGCAAACGACTTCCATAGGTCACGTTTACTGCAATAGGTTTATGCAGTTGAGTGGTGATGATCTGCTTCGCTTCCTTGGCGGCTTGTTTGACGTCCATCAAGTCATTGCTCAGCTTCTATGAAAAAGCACATTCATTAGCGCCGTGGCGTTCTGTTTGAGCAGATCTACAACGAGCACATCACGGATCTGCTGGAGCCCTCCTCCAAGAACCTGCAGGTTAGTGGGCTACGAGAGTCGATAAATCTTACTTCTTCAAACACATGACGAGAAGGTGGTGGCAGTGTCCCAACTTGTTTAAAGCAGCAACAAGCCATCACTCAAAGCGTCATCTTTCCTTCTTAGAAAGCCGAGTAGATTAGATCCAGTCCAGCATGGCAGCTTTTTGGAGGGCATAGATTTGAATCAAGAAACTTCGGTTCTGACTTTCAAGAGGTGCGTTTGCAGATTCGGGAGGACAAGAAGAGCGGGATATATGTGGAGGGTCTCCTGGAGGAGATCATTGAGACTGTGGATGACATGCAGAAGCTGATAGCCAAGGTGAGCAACCATGCCTTCCCCCCAAGCTCGTAAGTTCAGGCCTTTGAGCAGAACATTAATCACTGTTTTTGCTCAATACTTATCAAAGTCCGCCCAAGGCTTGCCTGTGTGAATAGAAAGCTTACCCCGTGGCAAAAGTTCACCCTGAGCCCGTCATCCACTATTTTATTTTCGCTGTGTTTGTCTTTATTGATCTCTCGACGGTCATTCAACTCAGCAAAGAACTGATCTGAAGTGGCAAGGTGTGCAATGTTCAACTGAGGGAAGCTTTCAGAGCGCTTACTCAGAAGGCCGTCTCAATTATTGTACAGGGCACTGCGAACCGGACCGTAGCTGCAACCAACATGAACTCTGCCAGCAGCCGCTCGCACAGCGTGTTTACCTGTACCATATTGAGTCGCAATAAGGTACGATTGCTTTCCACCATGTCACCCATTTGCTGCCATCAGAAAGGCAAAATCAGAATTTGAACAACAGCCACGACTGCAAGCGTGACTCCACCAGAGCCTAAAGCTGTCAGAATGACGTTGTTACATGCTTGCCAGAACAATATGTTCAGATGTTCAGAACTTTACTGGTTTTGTACGAGTGCCTTCAGAAAGCAACGGCCCGTACCCAAGGTAGAGTGAGTCTGAGAATCTTGTTGGGCTTGTTGTAAAACAAACTCAAGCTAATTGGTCAATAATTTCAATGCTGCCAGGGCTGCAGAGCTTGCTCAATTTCTCCAGAGACCCGTCTCACGACTGGAAAGAGAGCATTTCTTGTGCAAAAGCTAGCTGCTTCTCTGTTGCAGAATGTGTCCGACGGCACTGTCAACGTCCGGCGCTCGCGGTTGAACCTTGTAGACTTGGCCGGATCGGAACGGTGAGTTCACCAATGTTGTTGGCTGGCTTCACATGGAAAGACGTCATCTCGAATTAGTTAGCTCGTTACAATTTTCAACGAATGACAAGATAATGTTCAAATACAGATGGCACATCCTAGTGAGGTGACGACTTTCCATAAGGCTTCGGAGCTTTTATTTGTTTTAAAGCGCATCGCTCGAACCCTCGGCAAACACGCCGTCAGTCATTGGCCGGGCACTTTGAAACTAGAATTGCGGCAGTTCAGCTTTGCATTGCCTGTCTGCCCTGCAGGCAAAAGCTGACTGGAGCCCAGGGTGACCGGCTCAAGGAGGCCAGCAAGATCAACTCGTCCCTTTCGGCGCTGGGGTGAGCTTGCAAACTCTCGTATGCTTCTTCTCTTGAGTGCGTTAGCAGCTGCTCATTCCGTAGTCTGGCCTGTGGCAGCCCGTTTGCAAATGATGAGGAGAAAGTCGCTCGAGGAATCGCCTCTGCAGATCAGAAGGCCGGCAGCAAATGGCCTCCAACTTGAGTTGCACAACGTGCTATGCCTATGGAGCTTTTGGGACTATATTGGGTGGTCCTAGGTTGAAGCACGACCTGCTCAGTTGCTGACGTGAGGCCCTAGCTTCGACAGGCACAAAAAAGAATCCCCCTCTCCCTGAAGGTCACTGCTCTGCTGCTTGACACCTTCCGGACCCTGTCCAATCACGAGTACGTGCTTGTTGCGACTTGTAGGATATGCAGCTTTTGCCATACTATCGGTTAGCCGTCTCAAAGTTTACGAATTGTGCTGTGCAGCAACGTGATCAAGGTTCTGGCGGAAGTCGCGCAGACGGGCCGGCAGAGGCACGTGCCGTACCGGGACTCGCGGCTGACGTACCTGCTGCAGGAGTCGCTGGGAGGGAATGCCAAAACCGTCATGATTGCCAACGTCAGCCCTTCCAGCAGGTGAGAAGACACGTTTACGAGCAACTTGAGAGAGTAGTTGCTCAAATCACCTACGCAAAGTAAGATTACGATCGAAGCATTTTCTGTCAAGAAGGCTTTGGAAGCGGTGTTTCAGTTACCGGGCTCCGTTACAAGCCCCGTCTTTCGAGCTCTTGAAGCCTTTTCGTTGTGCTCATTAAACACACTACTGACTGCAGCCTTCTTACCGCCTGGAAAAGCAAACCGATGTATGCAGCCTCCGTGCGATGAAGGACAACTGCTTCCAATCTAGAGTCAAAGGCACTTCTGAAATGATCCATAACATGCACAGCGATGCTCTGCCCGCTTGGGACACAGTAAGTAAGCTGACGAGTTTTTCCCTCTGCTTGCTGTCAGCTGCTTAGGCGAGACCGTGAGCACACTCAAGTTCGCCCAGCGGGCGAAGGCTGTCCAAAACAAGGTGAGGCTTGCATACACTCCTTTCAGGGGTGCGCTAGCGGGCTTCGTCGGTTGTTGCCCAGGATTGAAGTTATGACTGTACGAGCTGCCCTTCCTCAGGCAGTGTCGGCGCTATTCCTGGACCCGCATCCCGCCTCGTTAAGCAAGTGTTATTGATCTATCTTGCGGCTTCTTTCAACATAAGATCATGTATGGACTGGCCTCGAGCTCGTCTGTAGGATGTAAGCGGGCCGCTATTAGGTAGCCTGCAACATTCGAGCGGACGGCGTTAGCTATTTTCGTGCTCACGTCCGACCACTATTGCCTTTGTCCAGGCTGTCGTGAACGAAGAGACGACCAATGACGTGAACGTGCTGAGGCAACAGATCCGGCGACTGAAGGTAAGCGCGAGCTGGCCACAGTTGGAAGTGCGAAGCACTTCTTCTCACGCTTCAGGCGGACTCTGCTCCTCCAGATTGCTCTGATTGTCGTAAAGATCCGTGCAACCGTGCCAGAAGGTCTTCTAAGATCAGGCCTTTTAAAAGCCTTTCCCTAACCCCACTTTTCAGGACGAGTTGCTGCGCATGAAGACTGCCCCCCCGCCCCGCTCGCCCTCCCCCGCTTCCCCCGACGGCCATCCAACAACCCCCGCAGCGCCCGCCACGTCAGACGGGTTATCCTCCCCGTCAGAGGCGTTTAGCCCCGAGGTTATGGAGCTAACCGCCAAGATAACCGAGCTCTCTCAGGAGGCGCTGCTGGCCGAGTCCTTCCAGGGTAAACTCACGGACGTTCTGGGGACGCCGAACCGCAGCCCCGAGGAGAACATCACCACGCGACGGCGGCGCCAGTGGGCTGACGTGGCGCGTGACGTCAGCGAGGGATCCCCGCTCGAGTCCCCGGTGCCGGCAGCTTCTCCCTCGCCCATCAAGATCCGGCCCTTCCCCGTCTCCCCCGAGGGCTTCGAGGTGCTCGCCGACAGCCCCGGAAGGATGAGGCGGCGGATTCCGGGCGGCGGAACGGAGGACGGAACGGAAACGGAATCGGACGACGACGAGCACAGCGACAAGGAGAACTCGGCGGGCTTCCAGGTGACCCCCGGGTCCGAGGAGGTGCAGCAGGCGTATTTACACCGGCTCCGTTTCAGCACGGAATCCGATCTGCCGCAGTGCGTGGAGTCTCCAGAGTCTCCGCTGTTCGGCCGCGACCGACGGAGCAAGTTGCGGGACCCGAGCCAGGAGAAGAACCTGCTGCTCACGCCCCCATTCACACCGGTGCAGTCGCTGGAAACGGGCGAACTAGAGCAGGGGGCAAACCGCTCTCCCGTGAGCCCCGCCGAAGTCGAGCAGCAGCTCCGGGCCGCGGTCGCGGCGGGTGACGTCAGCGCGACGAAAAGCGACGTCAGCGCGAGGGACGATGACGTCGTGGGGGCGAGAAGGAGCTGCCAGTCGGAGTCGTTCTTCAGCAGCAACGACAACGTGGAGGAGGGGCTGACGTCACCCCGGGGCGTGTTGCCGAGGGGGGGCGCGCGCCAGTCTGTGGAGAGCGTCGAGGCACCCCCCCGGGAAGCGGCGGACCTTTTGGCGGAACCGGAAGTGCCGCAGACTCCAGTAACTCCCGGGTTCGGCAAGTGGCAGCGGTGGGCGAAAAAGACGGAGGGATCCCCCAGTGGAGAAAGCACTCCCGTCAGAGAGCCGTCCGGATCGCAGCTATCGGACGCTTCCCCGTCCCCAAAACGCTGCCACGTGGCGGCTCCTGAGTCGCCGGCCTCCTCGCCACCCCCCAAGCGCGCGCACCGGGCCGTCACCTTCCCGGACGACGACCCGCCAACCGAAGCGCAGCAAACGGCCGCTGACGTCACTCCAGGGTCTGGAGACGTCAGCGACCCGGGTCTGCAGATGGTGGTTAGGGTTGACCGGTCGGTTCAGGGGCCGTCGAGAACTAGTCTGGCGGGGTCCGTGGCGGAGTTGTTGCTGGGTCCCGACGCTGTGGGGCTTTCGGACGTACAGCTGCAGGCGGTGGAGGGCGTCCTCGCAGGGGCGCTGAGGCGGGAGCAGGTCGCCGAGGAGCAGGCGGCGCAGCTGGAGGGGGAACTGGAGGCCATGCGCCGCATCGTGAGTGGCCAGACCGCTCTCTTCTGCTTGGGCCGCTCCAAAAGGGAAAACAGGAATAATTCGTGGTTGAGAATCGAATTGTGTCGGGCAGATAGTCGTTCCCATTTTTCGTAGGTGGCGCCTCTGACAAGCGTTCTTTTCGTCCAGGCGTCGTGCCTTCAAGGCTTCCGCAATAGACGCGAAGGTGCTTACATGATCACGGAAATTGGGAAGCCCATTTATGTGTTCAGTCTGTGGGCAGACGGAAATCTACTTAGTCTGCGGAACTGTTGCTCGGACCCGATGTGGCTCTAAAACTCCCTTGCATCGGTGGTAACTTGTCGTCTGACTCTCCAATCATCTGACTTCAGAGAACGTTCGAAAAATAACCGCATATTCCGCCCCCAATTCAACGAAAAAGAGCTCTCCAATCCCTTCCGCCCCTCCATAGTTTGCCGACTCCTGCTCAAAGAATCTTGAGTTGGAGCTTAAGCCCCTCTCTCTCAGGTGCGCGAGTACGAGCACGACTACGAGTGCAACAAGCGGCTGGTGGACTGCCGTAAGAATAAGGACCACACTTTCTCGACTCCTGCGCAAACAACTTCCAGTAAAGGCTTACAATTCTTCGCTCTTAGGTGCGCGAGTACGAGCACGACTACAGGTGCAACAAGCGACTGGTACACTGCCGCGAGGACAAGACCCAAACTCTTTCGCCTTCAGCTCAAAGAACTTCCAGTTTTTTAAAAGTTGCAAGGTCTCTTTTTTGTCCACTATTAAAAGTCTAGCAACCTCTGCCTCTCAGGTGCGCGAGTACGAGCACGACTACGAGTGCAACAAGCGGCTGGTGGACTGCCGCGAGGACAAGATCGCGCGCCTGGAGCAGCTCGCGGACGGCGTGCTGGCCGAGTCCGAGTTCCTTGTCCGCGAGCGTGCGGCCGCGCAACTAGAGCGGCGCGCGATGCAGGAGAAGATCGACCGCCACCCCGAGGTCACGCGATTCGCCATGGAGAATATGCGACTAGTGGAGCAGCTGCGCAGGTGGGCGCAATTAGAAACTTAAGCCCGTATTGAACATTGATGGGATCGCGTGTCATGAACGTGGGTCTTTTTTGTGGAGACGTGTGCCAGTATTCAAGTTTGCTGGCAATCATGAAGGCGGGTCGAAGGTAGGAACGCGGCGCAGGTAAAGGAAGTTGGATAGAGAATGACAATCGCATGCTTTTCTGCACTCTTACAAACCTCAACCAATAATTCTGACGTCTAACGAGTTCAAATGGAAGTTCTTTACAACAGGGCGTAGCAAGTCCGCTTGCACTCCAGGCAATCCACGGTTCTGGGGCCCCAAGTAGGTCGTATCTTCAATCTGGTCCGTGATAGAAAGATCTGGACTTCTTGAGTGTGCATTTTACTGAGCATAAACTCCGACGCCTACTTTCAAGACGAAGCTCCCCGGTCTGCACGTCAAGTAAACCATGATGTCTGTTTTTGATCGAGAACTCGCTCAGTGCTGTAATGGCAATGAGCGAGGAGTACAAAACCCAAAAGTTAGCTTGCCGTTCTGCTATTCTTGACGCTTATTCTCTCACAAGCTCCCGCACACTGTCCCTCAGGTACGAGGACTTTTACGGCTGCGGCGAGCGGGAGGCCCTGCAGAAGGAGGTGCAGCAGCTGCGCGACCACCTGCTCAAGGCGCTGGAAACTGGGCCCGTCCTGACAGGGCCTTCTTCCTCCCCCGTGCGCGCGATTGAATCCCAGCCGTCCGATGCACTCGGGACGGATCCCGGGCCGTCGGATCCGCGCTTGGCGAGCCTGGAGGCTGACGTGGCGTACTATAAGGAGCTGGCGGAGGTGCAGCGGAGGGAGGCGGAAGAGGCGAAGCACACGCTGGGGGGGGCGATCGTGTCGAACGCCAAGATGGCCAGCTTCTTCGAGGAGATCCAGGTAAAAGTCCTAGGGCTCAGCTTTGTGCCAGATTTTCTGAAGGGATTCTCAGTTTTAAGGAGATTCAGGTACGGACCTTGCGGGGGGGCAAGGGTTTGCTCGTATGTAAGAACCCGAAGGGGTTCTCAAAGTCTGCACCTAATACAATTCGCGAGGGGCTTGGCGTTGCTAAGGGTGTGAACGTCTTAGGAAGTTTCACGGCGATTGAGGGTTTCGGAGGAGTTGAGAGTTCCACTGATCGCTTGTCAGCTCTCTTGTCCTCACTTGCATAAGACGGTCGGTGCGGTGCTCATTGACATTCAGACACCGAGCAGGGCTCGGACTCAGAATGTCAGAAAGGGCTGTTGCTCTGAGCATTGGGTGCTCAACATTCTTCCTGGATTTGCGCAGTTGCCTGGAAAATGCCGGAGAGGACCTGTGACGAGACGAATTTCGGGTTCAAACAGATAGGAGTAGCCGCGTTAGAAAACCCTTCTTTCTCACGTTTTCCTGCCTTCCCCGTCATTCTCGCAGAAAGAGAACGACCGGCTGCTTCAGAAGCACCGCGCCATCCGGCTGGCGACCGCCCACATGGTTTCCGCTGCCACGGAGCAGCACGGAACGGACCCGGAATCGCAGTGGCTGCAGGCGCACGCGGCCGAGCTCGCGGCGCTGCGCGCGGACGACAAGGAGAACCTTCGGGAAATTGACGGGTGAGCAGGTTTCGGGAGGTCTCAATTACTTCGAAGCACTAGATGCGCGCTTGTGAAGGAGGAACCGCGGGAGGGTGATGTGTGAGAAAAGCCGACATGGCTCGCGAGACACGTTTGAGTGCATTTGAACTCAAAGTATCGTGGTCGACAGTGTAAAACTTCTCTTCATCGTTGGGCCGTCCAATCTTAAGCAGGGTAAAGCACCTCTGCCCGGAAGGAGCTTGGAAACTCGAGACTGTCGACCGGTGACTGAGCCAAGCTCGGTGTGTCTCTCCGCAGCCTCCAAGCGCAGCTTCGCGACGCCCGAGAAGCGGTACGCGCGGCTGGGGAGCTCACCACCCGGCTGCACAAGGCGGAGGAACGAGCCCAGGCCTGCGAGGTAGGCGGCACTTGCGGCCAAGACAACACCCACTTGCTTAAAGCATCGACTCTGTTCAAGTAAACGTTGCGGCCGAATCCAGTGGGTACATATCGAAGCAACGAATCCAGGGGTTCCTTGTTGAGAGCCGCATGGAGAAGGCCTTTAAGTTTATTCGAGACTCTGCAAAGTCGCCGCCAGCAAAGCGTGGAACTGCTGAATCCCAATCTATAATCACAGCAGAGCACAAGACGATATGTAGCCTGGATGACTAGTTCTTTCTCTTGTCCCCTCGTTCTTGAGCCCCTTGAAGATCGCATTCGCAGCTTGGCCCGCTTGACCGGGTACATGTCTTCTGAAAGACGAACGGACACTCTCTTGGCTCACGCGTTCCGAGCTTCGCATGTGCAGGAGGTTTCCGGCCGCACCGAGCAGACCGTCAAGGAGCTCCGGCGGAAGGCGGAACAGATGCGCCGGCAGCACGCACTGGAACTTGCGGGCGCGGAGAAGCGGGTTCGAGAAGCACGCTCCAAGAAGGTGAGCATACTCTCTCGTTACCGATCCAGGGACGTCTCGTGACGGAGAGTGAGGTTCTCGAGCGGGGAAGAGCTCGGTTCGCAGTGTGGCTGGCTGGCATACACTTGAGGCGCCACTTCTGCGCTTGCTTAAGTTAAAGCCGTTCTTTGACAGTGGCCCCGCAACGAAAACTCGGAGCTTTTTACGTTATGCCTGCAAACGTGAAATCGCATCGACCGTGCTTTTACAGCTTGCACTCCTTCACGCTATATTCGACTTCTGGCTCTTTCCTTGTCATCATTGTCTCTGGCGCAACCAGTGTTTGTTGTATCTACCTTTTCGAGATAAAATGTCTTTCTACACTCTGCAGGGCACCGTGTGCCAGCAACCGCACCTGTTTAGCTTGCACTTTTCGAAGTTTACTCGAACTCTCTTCCTGTCCGTCTTGTCTGACCCATGTTTGTCGTGGCAGAATGGATACATGACACTTGGCCTAATCTCCTGCAGGGCACCGTTTGCCAGATGTGCCAGATGTCGGAGCGCGTCGTGTTCCACCTGCCGGAGGGAGGTGACGACTCCAAGCCCGTTCAGAAAGTTTTGCACCGGTCCCAAACGGAGCCCGGGCGAGCGAGCGGGGCCAAGTCGAGCAAGAAAGGGTTCTGGTTCTGGGGGAAGGGAAAGAGCAAGGAAGAACCGGGTGAAGAAGAGGGTTCGGGCAATCTGGAGTCTTCTCCTGAGGAGAGGGAGAGCATGGCGTCGAATCCTCCCCGGGAAGAGGGGACTTCGGGAGAAGTTGGCACCGAGATTGCGGAGGGTGCTCGGTTGGACAACTCGCTGGAGTCGCTGCCCCTAACCCCTCGGTAAAGGCTACAGGAGGTGGTCAAGGATGGGACTGTCCTCTGGAAAGCGAAATTTTACCAGGTTGATTAGATTCTCTATAACTACTCCCCAGCTACAGTTAAAGTATTCGAAGAAACCAGCACGCTTCGGTTCAGAATGTCAAGGATTGGTTTACCACAGCTTTATACCCCGTGGTCTGATTTATTTTCTGAAAAGTTTGAGTCCTCTGTCTGGCCGGCAAGCCGGCCAGCCCTGCCAACAGTTCATTGCAGTGCATTCACATGTGCATTGGTACAACGACTACGGTATCTACTTCTTTCGCTCTTGCAAGTCGACTTGACTCGGCCGTTGATGCAAAGACGTTGTGTGATTCCTTCACTCTGAATTAGAGAACGCTTATGAGACGGTTGTTCGCAAATCGTACAATTCTGTGCGAGTCTCATAAAATCAGGTGTATGCTCTACTATTAGGTTATTTTTTGACAACTAAGACCTTAAGGCTCTACTATTAGGTAATATCTTGACAATTGAGACGTAGCTTAAGGAAATTTCTTCGTCCTCTGTGTGCATGACGGTTGCCTCAAGCATGCAATTGTATCCAGTTAGGCTGCACAAGCTATAGTGCATGCATGTGGCCTCACCGTAGCTACGTATATGAAGCACAGTGTATGCACTCAATACATGATAATGATGCGGGCCCAGGTGACAATCACAAGTGTACAGCTTGATCATTCAGCTTAGTATATACATAGCTGGCGCCTGTAGCTCTGCTGTATGTTTCGTCGAATCTCTCACGCATGTATATAAACGGTTTGCAGCTTTGCAATATATATGGTAGTATAGTAATCATTCAGTGCATGATATACGGAACGGACTTCGTGCAGAAGTTTGCAACCGACTTAGCCCGCCAGTTCGCGAAGGGCCCAAGTGGAAAGCCGATGCATATAGGTAGCTTGTTCCGGCAGGACGTACATTTGCATAAGATCCGGCCTCTAATAGGAAGACGTGTTGTTAGGTATTGCATATGCTGTTGCATGAGTTGCAGGACTTGGATGAATCTAGTCACATGGAACATGGCAATCGGTGCCAAACATTGTTAAGTTCTCCGGAGGCCGGCCCCATGCCTTGTGCAAGGGCATCATATAATACGAAGTATCCATATATATATGCCAGCAGGCATTGCATGTTTAAGTGGGATCAGTGATTTGCAGTCACTGGCCACAGGCCATGCAGTTGTTCTTCATAAGTAACAAGCAAGCTCGCGTGATGTGCACTACACAGTTGATCTGCGGAGAAATTGTTATAAGCTGCACTTGAAACATGCCGTAGAATAGCAAACTACGAAATCATGATGCGAGACCACTTTGTATAGATAACATGTGATGCAGGATTGCGAGCTCGCTGGGTGACTCTGCTCGGCGAATCTTGTACTCTTCCGCAAAACAACGGTTGTCTAAGGCGACAGCAGGTCTCATGCTGATCAGATTGTGCGAATGACCGACTGCTCATAATCCTAGCAACAGATGAAAATGACGCTCTGGTGCAAACTGCCACGGTACTTCTGTCAAGTCGAATCTGATCTGAAGAAACCATTCCTGTCCGTACTCCACAACTTTCGCCTCTTTCTTTGTCTTTGGAGAACTTAGGCGATGCATCTTTGAGCTTCAGGTCATGCAATCTGAAAGGGGAATCCGCACAAAGATAAATGAATGATGCTGTGTTCAATTTACAATGTTGAATCCACAATTGGTCAACTCATCTAAGGCTCTTCTCCACAGCTTCGTACCCGTCTCTTCTACCCAGCATCCCGCTCTCTTTCAAGTCCGCATAGTACCTGCATCAGGAGGCCGAAGGACAGCCGCTCTGTCAGTCTACACCCGAGAGGCAACCTGCCTATGCATACCTCTTTGCACAATCCTGGACGGCGACGATATCCTTGGTTGCGTGCACCTCCATCCTAGTCGTTATGTTTCAACCAAGATAAGCTTTCAAGCTTGACTTAACTTCACCCACAAACAGGATTCAATCGGCAAAGCAGTCAGGGCTCAGAATGAATATGAGGAGACTGAAAATGAAAGAAATGAAATAGTACACGATACTTACAGTCAGATTGACAACAAAATGGGTTAGAAAGGGTGCTCGACGATTACTGTCGGATCGACAAAGCAATGGTACGCTATCAGCCAGTCGTGCCTACTCAATGGGGAAAGCACAGAGTTCAAGGACCAAATCGAAGCCAGAAGGTCAGCACCAATCAAGCTAGTACAACAGGCTCACAGGCATGCACCTGTGCCATCATCAAAAGTATGTTGCTGCTGATCCACAAAGTCTTCAAAACATTGATATGCCGAACTGTTCTGCTTCGGGTCATTCACTTTAAAAAGATAAGCGGAGGAAATGAGCAGAGCTTGATTCTTAAAAAGGCAGCTCGTTACTGAGTGGGCGCTGTTTACACGTTATAAGATCCTGTACTTTGAATAACTTACTTTTGATGATGCGCTTCCGTTGTCCAGAATCCATAGGGCTTCACAGGCTGGGCCCATGTAGCTTTTAGCTTTTCACATCTATCTCTCATTTCGTACAGGTGCTGCCTTGACTTCTCATCCCTTTCCTTTGGGTCTTCCATCCAGCGCCGTATCATGTGCTCCGAATACTCCAGGATGAATGCCATGGATGACGCTTGCGTGCACCCACCGGCAGCGGGCTCACAGAACGGATAATATTGCCCGCTGCTTGCGCCAATCAATACAAGCTTGGAGATCAGTACTTTAGACAGTCTGCAACAGCAAGAACTTGGAAAGAAGGCGTCACTTTCAGAAGACAGGCGTCTCTCTGGCTCTACACCTTCCCTTCTCAGCCTTCTGCTGAAATTTGAGTTCTGTTCAAACTTCAGTCTCGAACC